TAGTTATAGATATTAAAGATTGTTTTTTTTTCAATTCCAATTCATCCTGAGGATAGTCCACGTTTTGCATTTACTATCCCTGCACTGAATCATGAAGGTCCTGATCAGAGATATGAATGGAAAGTACTCCCTCAAGGGATGGCTAACAGCCCAACTATGTGTCAAATTTATGTTAACAAAGTAATCCAGCCACTTAGAAATCAAAATCCTGAACGACAAATATTTCACTATATGGATGATGTATTATTAGCACATAAAGCTAAAAACACATTGCTAGAATGTTATGCCACACTTACAAACTTATTAAAAAATTATAATCTAGAGATAGCAATAGATAAAGTACAATTAAATTTTCCAATTAATTATTTAGGAGTTCTATTATCCTCAACCATGGTCCGTCCACTAAAAATTCAAATACGAGTAGATCAACTCAAATCACTTAACGACTTTCAAAAGTTATTAGGAGACATAAATTGGATAAGGCCTTATCTAGGTATACCAACAGGAGAGTTGGGACCTTTATGTGATATCCTAAAAGGTCTATCAGATCCAAATTCACCCCGAATATTAACGCCTGAAGCAAGAAAGGCATTAAAAATCATTGAAACATATATGGAAAATATGCATTTGGATAGAATTGATATAAGTTTGCCTTTATTATTTATTGTACTACCAACAAAAAATATTCCTACAGGAGTATTTTGGCAAGAAGGTCCATTATTATGGATACATTTATCTTATTCTCCTAACACTATTCTTACTAGGTATCCTGAGGCTGTAGGACAATTAATACTCAAAGGAATAAAGGCAGCAAAGGGAGTGTTAGGAATTTCTCCCAATAAAATTATTACTCCATATACTATGAATCAAATTGATGAGTTAGCTAATGAGTTAAATACTTGGGCAATAATCATGTGCAAATCTAATGTTTCATTTGATAACCACTTACCATCTAATCCTTTATTGTCTTTTTGGTCATCGCATCCTGTAATTTTTCCAAAAATGACAAGAAAAACACCTATCATGAATGCTCCAAATATATTCACTGACGGATCAAATAATGGTACAGCAGCAATAGTTACACCTGATCAAACTTTTACATTTTTAGTACCCAAACAATCAGCTCAAAAGGTAGAGTTTAATGCAGTATTACAAGCTTTTGTGATGTTTAAAGATTCTGTGTTTAATTTATTTTCCGATAGTCAGTATATAGTTAATGCTATAGTATCCCTTGAAGATGCTGATAGGATTTCCCCTTCCTCTACTGTTTTCTCTTTGCTTTCCACTATACAAAGTCTAATCTGGGACAGAAAAGATCCATTCTTTATAGGACATATCAGGGCACATACAGGATTGCCTGGAGGCCTTAGTTTGGGCAATGATTTAGCAGATAAAACTACACATGACATACATATTTTCTCTACACTAGAAGAAGCTATAAATTTTCATAAAAGGTTCCATGTCAATGCTAATACTTTACAAAAGCGTTTTAAAATAACTAAGGAACAAGCTAGACAAATAATAAAACAATGTCAAAATTGTGTGACCTTTTTACCACAAGTTAATCTTGGAGTCAATCCTAGAGGATTGATACCTAACCATATTTGGCAGATGGACGTCACACACTTGCCAGAATTTGGAAAATTAAAATATTTGCATGTTACAGTTGATACTTCTTCTGGATTTTTGATGGGCTCCCTTCATGCCGGAGAAAAAACTAAAGATGTTATAGCTCATTGCTTACAAAATTTTGCCACTGTGGGCGTTCCAAAACAGTTAAAAACAGATAATGCCCCTGGTTATACTTCTACCTCTTTTAAACAATTTTGCTCATCATTTGGCATTACTCATATAACAGGAATCCCATACAATCCACAAGGACAAGGCATAGTTGAAAGAGCTCATCAAACTATTAAAATGTACTTATTAAAGCAAAAAGAAGGAATTGGGAAGGGGTATATATTCCCCAAAGATAAACTTAAAATAACCCTTTTTACTCTAAACTTTTTAAATTTGGATTCATCAGGACTTAGTGCTGCGGAAAGGCATGTGTGTCCAAAAAATGTGCATAAGCCCAAGGTACTTTGGAAGGATATTCTAACAGGACAATGGAAAGGTCCTGACCCAGTCATTGTCTGGAGTTGGGGGTCTGTTTGTGTGTTTCCACAGGGTGAACAGCAGCCGATTTGGATTCCAGAGAGATTAACTAAAGCGATTTCTACAGACCAAAAAGAAGATGATTTGGCTCAAATCCATAACAGCTGATATCCAAAACTCCAGTTTGGCTATCCTTACATCTGTGACAGAACCAGGATGCTTTTTTCAATATCTATTTTATTATTGCCCTTTCCCACATCATGAAGTTCTATTTTATTTTTTGAGCTCATACAGACCTAGGTTAATGTTTTGCTGATCAGTTCTATTTTTTGACTATAGAGTTTTTAAACATTGCAATGGAGATTTCACCTGTAAAAAGTTATAAGGCCTTTACTATTATGTTATGTGTTGTATGTATTATATTATGTGTGCACACTTGTGTTTTGTGTTATATGTTTGAATGTACATATGTCCATATATCATATATGATGAGTGCTCATGAAAAAATGGATCCAAATATTTTTTTTTTATTCACGTGATTTAAATGGTTTAATTTAAATTGGGTAAACAACTGTTGAGGATTGTTTTAATATGTGAACAAAGAAGGAGGTTAACAGATCTGTTTGTTTACTTTCACCTTTCTTTTCATTATATTTAATAATTCTCTTCAAGATAATGTAAATTGTTAAGAAAATTGTTTTCTTTTAGTGCCTTCTGGAATGTTACATAATTTTTTCTTTAGCCATTATTGCCAGAATTCCTATCTTCATCCCAGTGCCGGTGAAGACAAAGATAAAACCAATCTACAGCTTCTGCAATAGCCATAACTGAACTGCTTGCAGAACTTGCCTGGACTATGTATCACTTGTATGCATTGTGAACTCACCTGTATGCATTGTGAACTATCTGTTGGTGCAGCGACTTGTGGTAGTGTTGGGGTATTTTTGCTGATGATGTCATCAGTGGTACAATTTTTCCAAAAGGAGCCGTCAATTGACTTGGTGTATCTTCCTCCCTTCTGCTTGTCATGATCGTTCAGCTAAAATTTGGGGGCCAACAGAGGTGAGGCAAAGAACCTCCCCCCCCCCCCCCTGGTACAAAGACCTCTCCACAGGTGTGGCTGTATACTGGACCGGTAGTCAGTGACGGGTAAGATCCAATTACAATGGTACCAACCTAAGACAGGAGGCTGACTCCTTGAGGTCAGCTCATCCGATGATGGGTAAGGACCATATGTACTATTGGACAACCTAAGGCAGGCACGGTCCCTAAGCCACATGCTTGTTGTTTAAACAGAGAGGGGGAGATGTTGAGAGCCACAGCTGAAGGGGCCCCAGCAAACTTTCAGACTGCCAGCTGATGATTGGCTCACAGAGGCCCCAGCAACATCTAGCTGATTGGCTCCTCTGCGGTGATGCTCATTGGGCTGTTTCCCTGCCCTTTCAGACCACGGAGCTGCTCATTGGGGGACTTTTTTGGCTCCGCCCACGCGACCCAGTCAATCGGCCTCAAGAGCAGGAGGATTGTGGGAGGTGGAGAGGCTTGTGGGAAGCCGTTGGTGGCAGTTGGGCTCTGAGGGTTTTTCCTGAGGAGCGGTTTTGTTTGGCGTGTGTGGTTCTAAAAATAAAGTTCGTTTCTTTTGACAAGTGGCTCCTGAATTGTGCCCAGCCAGACTGCGGCAAGGCTCACATGCACTTTTCTCTGGATCTCCATCTTGAACTCTTCGTTCTGCTTTACAGTGGAAGTCACCTCATGCCCAACACGTCTCCAGGCCACTGAGGCCTCCCTCCTGGGCCCCTGCCTGGTGCTGCCAGCCTGTGCTGGCCTATAGGGGCCACACTCCACCTTTGTCCTCCAGCCCTGGCCCTGAGGCAGCCTGCCTCTCCACCTGTTCTCAAACCCAATGTCTTTCTCTGGAGTTCAGGAAGGTGTGAGACTCACCTGCCATCTTTTGCCCCACAGGAAAAGCAGGATTTCCCAAATAGTGGCCCACAGAGCAAAGGGGTGTCTTGACTGTGGGCAAGTCTTGCCCTGAAGCCTCTGAAGGGAGAATGGGGCAGTTCTGGCCTCCTCCCTGGGGTCATGTGCCAGGTCTGCAAAGCTCTGGCAGTCATCGCTGCGGGAGCTGGGATGCTGCTGCACACCCACAAGCATAAGATAGCCCTGCAGCCCCTGACCCTACATTGGGCTTTTCTTATTTCATAATCACTGTCCTCATCACCACTTTTTTTTTTTTTTGTGGTGTTGGAGCTTTAACCTGGGACGGTGTGTATCACTGAGCAAGTCCTCTACCACTGAGCCACACTCCAGCCCACGTCACCATCTTAAAACGGAGGAAACTGACTCAAGAGATCCAAGAATGCTAGAGAATAAAGACTGTCTCAGAACACAACAACCCTGATGCTTCCTTCGGATGAAGAAAATGCCACACAGCACAAGATGGAGCCGACCGTGCAGCTACACAGATGTGTTTATCTGAGAACACTCCCCCAAATTCCTCCCCTCGGATCCCTGTTCCTAAGCCTTCTCCTTCCCATAGTCCTGGAGCTGGGGGACTCAGTTCGATTTGCTCTGTGGTTCAGAGACTGCAGCAAGATCAGGGAGGGCCTGGGCGACCAAAGCCAGCAACTCCCTTAAAAAGGGCCCTGTGCCCAAATGGCTTCCTGAGTCTGGACGGGTGATTCCAATGCCAGGCCTGCAGAGGGAGCCTTCCCTGCAGGAGCACTTGAGCCAGCATTCTGATGTGGGCAGCCAGCCTCGGGATAGCCTCCAGATGCTCAGAGACACAGGAACAAGGAAAACAGCATCAGTGAGAGCTTGCTACTGTATCTAGCAACCCCTCTGAAAAACTCTAGGTCATCTGAAGAAAGAGAATCAAAAGAAAGCACACTGGAACAAGAGCCTTACGGCAACACCTTTTTAATAGGTCAAAGTAACTGTACAGTTCATTATATTCTTCCTGAGAATAATTCATATCCCCCGACAAACTAAAGGGAGGGTGTGTTCTTCAGAATGATCTAAGAGGACGATGGTGCAATAGCTGGACATCTATCGAGAACCAAACCCCTGCGTCCCGCTTAGTTCTCTGTGGGGAAGACAGACACGATGAGGGTCAGCCAGCGCCCGTGGCTGTGAGGGGTCAACATGGCTTTAATCTTTCCTTATAAATCATATAAAAATGGAAAACGGTGGTTCTGGACTCCTCGCTGCAGTTTGGAGGTGCTCTGGTACAAAGTGTTTCTGCTTCCAAGAGAAATTACACTGCTACAAACAACGGGCACATTATCCTGGTGAGAAGACACGAGTTTTGAGTCTTGGCTGGGCTCTGCAGCTGGCTCCAGCCCAGCGCTTCCATGTCCACGTAAAGTGAAAGGCGGGAGACAGAAGGGTGCTAGTTTTTTTTTCTGAAATGATTTGAGTCTTCAAAATATAGCTTTTATATTCTTTCTTTGTAAATGGGATTAGCATATTGCAACAGAAGGGTGTTCTAGCCAAACCCCAGTCTGGATAATAATGCTATGGCAAGAAAGGAATCCTCAGCCTCCTGGGTCTCCTGGGATTCTTCACCACATTCTCTTCTTCCTATATTCAGTGAAGGCAGGTCAGGAATGAACACAGCCCCCAGGCCATTCCCACTAACAGGAATACCAACTGCTCTTCACATTTCTGCTTTAATTTCATTTTGACACAGGGTCTTGCTAAGTTGCTGAAGCTGGCCTTGAACTGGCAAACTTCCTGCCTCAGTGTCCCCAGTTGTTGGGATTACAGGCATGCACCATTGCATCTGGCCTTCATGTTCTTAAAAAAGCTTCTTAATGTATAATTTTCATTCTTGAAAAATGCCACATTATGGACCCCAGACTTTTCTGAACCCCATGATTTAAAAAGAATAACAAAAATGAACCCAAGATGTGGTTAAACTTATGTGAGAGGTTTTCAGCCAGCTGTTGCTCAGCTGGAGATGTGGTGCTGGCGCCTGAGGACACGCTGGCTCTGGCTGCTGGTGGAAGGCCGGTGAACACCTTCCCAGGGAAGAAGTACAGCCCCCGGGCGGGCTCAATGTGGCCTTGCCTGCCCAAGCATCTTCAGTCTCGCCTGGTCAATGGCATCCAGCAGGTTCTTGGCATCCACTGCGAGGGCGTGGGCGGCAGTCAGCATCTGCTTCTTGTACTCCTGCTGCAGGCTGGTCATGGCGCACTGCTGGGCCAGCCGCATCTTGCTGATGAGCTCTCCCAGGTCAGAGTTGAGCAGCTTCTGTGCCATCTCGATCTGGAAGGACAAGAGGCAGGTCAGGAGGATGGCTTCTAAAGAACCTTTCAGGGAACTTTCTTGTCTTTTATTGCAGGGCTGGGGATAAAATCCAGTGCTGGGCACACACTCTCCCACTGGACCCCACCTCTGCCCCTTCTCTACGCAATTTCACAAGCCTTTCTTTTGGTGCCACCATGAGAAAAAAAAAAAAATCTTTCCCTCAAATAAATCCTCCTTAGAAGCAACAGGGTGGAAAACCTTTCTCTCCCTGGGAACTCTGGCCAGTGTCGTGTGCCTGTGCACGTGTACTTGCCCAGCAGTCCTGCTTCCACCCACAGCCCTGCTGTCACCAGGACGCCCTCTCCATTCTGTATTTGCTGTCTGGACTTCCACCTCACTGTCTGGCAGGGCTTTCCTTTGTTTTAAAGTAAATCATAGAACCTGACAGAATCTCAGAGATTACCTGGTCCAGATTCTCCCATATCAGCACGGGCAGCTGAGGTACAAAGTGACCTGCTGAAGGCCAAGACAGGACAAAAGCCTGGGTCTGGACTCCTGATACCTCTCTGGACCTCCCGGAGCTGCATGGGACGATTCTCGGAGTCAGAAGGCCCTGGCCCTGCCTTAGCATGAGCAGGCACGGGACTCGCCTACTGCCCCCATGGGGGCAAAGGCTTGTGTGTGGAGTCTCATGAGCCTGCCTGTTCATTCAGCCAGGGGTGACAGCCATCTACTCTTGTGGCCCTTCCTGAGCACTTAACATGCACAAGGTACCTTGTGCTGTGACATGAGAAGCAGTCAGACATGTCTGCACACACAGGCCAGGCACAGGACTGCCTGGGACCCCCAGAGACAGTAGCACAACAGAAATGCACAGTGAGAAGGGGCAACTCACCTTGCCTCAGAGGCTTCCCAGGAGAGCCTGGACTTGGCCTGCACTGTGAGTGGGCTGGCTTCCACTGCAGGACCTCGCAGGCCATGCCCAGCTGGCCCTCTCCTGCTGAACTTGGTGGTGGGTAGGCAGATCAGATTTTTAGGAAGGAACAATGTAACCTAGAGATCTACCTCTTTCTTTCAGAAAGAAAGCTCTGGGGGCAGGGAAGGAAGGCAAGTCTTATGGCAGTCTGAGGAGGTGACAGTGGTCGGTGAGGATGAGGCCCACTCGAGACTGTGTCCCGTGTAGAGGGGACTGAAGGGGCAAGTGGCCAGTGTGTGGTAGGCCCTAGCTGGGGAAGCAAGCAGGGAAAAGCAGACGGCTCCTGCCAGCAGCTGACAGATGGCTGGAGACTGAGCTCGGTACGGCGCTACCATGCACAGGCTTGGGAAGCAACAAGTATTTGGATCTATGGAAGTGGGGTGGGTTGCCAAGATGAGGGGTTTTCTTTAATACAAATGGGTGGCACCTTGGGGACAACCACACTCAGTGTAGCAGCAGGAGGGGAGCTGAGCAGGACGGGCTGCTCCTTAGGAAGCATGGTGGGCAGCAGGGAGGGGCAGTGGGCGGGGAAGCAGGCCCACAGGAAGGCTCCTCTTAAACAATGATTCAACAACAAGGAATAAGGGAGAGGGATCTGTATGCCTGAGAATCAGGAGTGCGAGTAGTGACTTCAGCTACTGGCTGCAGTAAGTGCTGATGATGGTCCCGCAGAAAAACCCTTGTTAGACAGACCCCTTTCCTGCCTATGGTCATGAACTCCTCTGCTTTCTGGCAAACTTGTTGCTGATCATGGAAAACTGCTCAGAGCCCCAGAGAAGCAGGTAAACTAGTGAGGACCTGCTTGCTATGAAAAAGCTGCACTGTGGAGACACTCAGAGGAACTACGTGGTTCTGTCACTGATTGATAGAGGAACCATCAATGGTTGCTGTGTCCCGCTGTCCCTTAGGAGGCAAGATACAGCTCCCCAGATTGACATCCCCCAGACAATGTGTACCTCAGATGTGACATCCTGAGAAGGACTCCACTTCAGGAGTCCTGCCTGCTTAAGATGTGACACTGATATGCCATCCTCCTGCCTCCCCTAACCCTCCAGCCTGAGACAACAGGCATGCATCACCATGCCTGGTGATACTGACGTTTTTTTTAAAATATTTATTTTTTAGTTGTAGTTGGACACAATACTTTTATTTTATTGATTTATTTTTATGTGGTGCTGAGGATCAAACCCAATGCCTTGCACATGCTAGGCGATTGCTCTACCGCTGAGCCACAACCCCAGCCCAACACTGACTTTAATGACCAAGTACAGGCTCAGTTATGTGAAGAGTGTCACCATGTTGAGAGCACTCTGACAAGTACACTGCCCTTCATCTGTAAGTCAGAATGAGGCAAAATTACTGAAAGGTGGTGGAAGCGATGATCGTTGCTAGGAGACAATATTTGGGGTGAACTTTGGTCCCTTAAAAACTTTTAGTAAAATTTATTAATTTAAGAGAATATTTTAAAGGGAAAGCCAGTATCACTTGCAAATACCAAGGTTTGGGAAGGAGCATTCAAAGGAAGTGGCAATGCGTCTCCCACTTTGGAGGAGCTCAGCACCGACAGCAGTTTCCCTGAGTGCTCACGGCCACCCTGTTCCTCAGTGGAAGGCCTCACACAATGGCTCTGAGCCTGAGCAGGTGCTGACCTTGGCAGGGGACAGAGTGAACAGAAGGGCTATCACCTGTGGAGCACCTAGAGCCAGCCTCTGCTGGTCCTGATGTGGGACCTTCAGCACCACAGCTGTTCCTGTGTGTGGCCCCGCACATGACCCTTCCAGTGCTGTGCCTACCTCTCGGTGTGTGCTGGCTGGGAGGACAGGAATGGTCTCATCCACGGTAGCCAATAGTGTCCGCAGGGCCAAGCCAACTTCCTAACAGACAAAACCACAGCCAGGGTTAGAGCACATAGGAATTTCATGGTGGCACTGACCATTTCACCTTGCAAGTGAAGTGTGCACGAACCTGCGCGCGCACGCGCACACACGCACACACACAGTTTCTAACAGTTTTAAGAAAAAATTCTGCACTTCTTTCTCTTAGTACTGACCCCATCTAGTACATTACAAGGCTCCTTCCCTCTGTAAAGATGCAGATCTCTGTCTGTCCTTCACCATAATGTACCAGAGCAGTTGCTCAGGTAAGAAGCGTCACATAGACGCTAAGAAACAGGCATGCCCTGTTCCCACCTGACCCAGGAAGACGATGGTGCCCACACAGGTGAGGCAGATGCCACCTTTCTCATGTGTGCGCATGGAATCTAGAGGCCATTTTGAATCTTCCACTCCACACTCCATCCATTCTTATAATCCATGTGAGTTGTTAAGACAAGGGCTAACTTCTTAGAACATCATCATTTTAAATTTCATTTTTTTTTCTAGTATTGAACCCAGGGACACTCTACCACTGAGCTATATCCCTAGTCCTTTTTTTATTGGGGGAGGGAATACCAAGGATTGAACTCAGGGGCACTCAACCACTGAGCCACATCCTCAGCCTTATTTTGTATTTTATTTAGAGACAGGGTCTCACTGAGTTGCTTAGCATCTCGCTTTTACTGGGGCTGGCTTTGAACTCGTGATCCTATTTCAGCCTCCCGAGCTGCTGGGATTATAGGCGTGTGCCACTGCTCCCACTTCCTAGTCCTCTACTGAGACAGGGTCTCTCTAAGTTGCCTAGGCTGGCCTTGAACTTGCGATCCTCCTGCCTCAGCCACACGAGTCACTGGGATCACAGGTTTTTGTGCCAGTGCCAGGCTAAATTTCGAATTATTGGTATTGTTGTTCTTATGAGGATCCAAGATGTATGACCAGTATGTCAATATATAATATGAATAAAATCAGTATGAAAATACTTGGGTCAGCATGCAAAAGGAGTGGAATCATCTGACCAAAGCAGTCAGGCTTTACCTAAAAGGGAGATGCTCTGGGCGGGCATTGGTGGGCAACTGTCATCATGCGAACACCAAGGCGTCTGCCTGCACAACTAGGATGGCTGCAGTACCACTTGAGCATATAGTCCTACAGGACCACCACTCTAAGTGGCCAGGTGATGAATGGAGCATCCCACAGACTACATGACTGATAGTTAAAGCAGAAGTTGCTATTAAATCAACATGCACAATCTTGACATGTCTGAAATCCTGAGTGCTTTTGTTTACTGCTGAGTTGTTTTTCCAAACTTGGCTATGGGTTCATCATGTTCTCCCAGAAGAACTTTGGGTATGATAGTCACAGGAGCACAGTTTAAAACACGAACCAGAATGATCAAGAAATACCACAGCTTTTAAGCAGCTTTTCTACATTGATGGTATTTCTACAAAGATTGCCAATAGGTACACTAAAAAAGTGGTATTGACCCCACAATCAACAACAAAAAACCTAATTAAAGCACAGGCAAAGGAACTAAATAAACATTTCTTCAAAGCAATCACACAACAAAACAGAGAGCCACCCACCCATGCAATTTAGAGGCGGAGCAGCTGGAGTTCGCACAGGTTGTGGGGAAGCCAGAGGTGCAGCTGCTGGGAAGTGCGGTGGCAGGATCTGGGAGGATCAAAACAAGGCTGCTGTGCCTGCCAGAACTCCTCTTCTGACTGCACACTAGGACTGAAGACAGAGCCTCGAAGGGCTACCTGTATGTCACGTGCACCGCAGCACTATTCATGAGAGCCACCAGGTAGAAGCAACCAAGTGTCCACAGATGGACAGATGAATGAACCAAAGCTGGTATGGACGTACAGCAGGATGCTGCTCAGCCTTAGAGATGAAGGAGACTCAGACACATGCTACCACAGGGAGGAGCCTTGAGGACATCTTTCCCAGTTACAGAAGCCCGTCCCAATAGGACAAATGCTGCAGGACTCTCACTATGTGACAGACCCTGAGCAGCCAGATTCAAAGATAGAAAGTAGAACTGAGGCTTGCAGGGGCTGAGCAGGAGGGGGAATGAGGAGTCAGAGCTTAACTGATGAAATTTCCGTTTTGCAAAGAGAAAGTGCTTGAGCTGGACTTGGTGACGGTTCTCAGCAGCCTGAAGGTGCTTAATGTCACAGATGTGGGGGGAGGGAAGATGATATATTTTAAGAAATGTTCCTACTAGTGCTGTCTAGTTACACATATACTATAGTTAAATGTAATAGCAGGATTGATTTTGACATATTCATCAATGCATGTAAAAGTTTGTTCCATTTTAATCCCCAAGGATGGTATTTTTTTTTTTTTTTTTGGTACTGAGTATCGAACACAGGAACACTTAACCACTGAGCCACATCCCCAGCACTTTTCATATTTTATTTAGAGACAGGGTTTTGCTAAATTGCTTAGAACCCTGCTAAATTGCTGAGGCTGGCTTTGAACTTGCAATCCTTCTACCTCAGCTGCTGGAATTACAGGTGTGCACCACCATACTTGACTCCAAGGATGATAAATTTACCACCGTGGGGGGGGGAAAAAAAAAAAAAAGCACGTGCCAGTACCTTTTAAAAACACTAAAGCTAAGTTTGATGGCACTCTTTGAACTGTAGGACACTTCTGAGCACCTGTGTGCCATCATGAGGGTCTGGTAGGAGCAATGCTGAGCCTCCTGGGCAGTCTTGTTTGGACAGCATCTGTTATTACCTCCCAGGATCCCATTCCACTGAGCACAATTTGAAAAATAGTCCACAGTATTTTTATTTTGGTCTCTTCCTTCTTTTATTTTTTTAAATTAAAAAAAAACACACACACATACTCACCCCTTAGTTTAAGAAAACCAACACAGATAAATTGTCCATATACTCTTTTGCCTCTTCCTCAGAGGGACAGTATCTCAACTGGATAATTACTGATCCCATGTACTTCTTGGACTCATTCAGGATGCTCCTGCATGTTCTTCAACTTTACATAAATGCCTCATGCTGACAGTACCCATCTGCAGCTGCTGTTTTAACTAGAGACTACATTTGTGAAAGATGGTATCCCTTCAGGACCCTACCATCCTAATGTTTACTGACATGAGAAAACCAGGGATTCACAATGATGGTGGCTGTCTCCAGAGTCCTCACCATGTGGTGCCTTCACACCTTCCTAAGCATCAGGTCTGACTCTGGGAGATGTCAGAGACATCTAGTAGCTCCACCACAGCCTCTGTGCACCGCAGGCTGCACTCACCTTCACCATAGGGACGTACTCCTCGGGTGGGGCTGGCTGGATTTTACTGGACATCTCAATGACAGCTTTCACCAGGCCCGTCACGTTCTCATACACCTTGTCATTGGACCGGTCCAGGTTGGCAGTGGGAGGGGGACTGATTTCCTGGGGTTGAAGCTGACAATAAAGAAGCAGATCATTCTTCTGCTCTCCAGCAGTGGGCGTAATACCACCACAGCTAAATTAGACTTCAAAGCAGACTGCAGAAGATAATGGATTTTCTTGTTTGTATAGGATATAGTTCAGTTTGAGACAGTAAAGTGATTCACCCAAGTGACAGAGTTGGCAATATATTTTTTTCTAATTTTGAGCTCAGCTAAAGGAAATGAAATGGAATGACATATACTGTACTTAAACTCCCAGATTCTTTCAGTGTCCCCACACCCCAAGATTATTCACCACAAAAGAAACAACCCACAAACTTTACATCTGAGGATTCACCAAATTCCACAGAAAGTCACTTGCTAATGATGGAACACTCTACACCAGTACCGAGCATTTCCTTGGCTTCAAGTTCTGCAGTAAGGAGGCTTGTGGCTCAGCTGAGCTGCCTAGGAGAGACCCGCTCTCACACGGGAGTTCATCCCCAGTGGTCACTATCTACCTGCAGGACACTCCTAAATCCCAGTGGTGGGGAAGCTGCTTCCCACAGCTCTCGGCTGCCTGCTGGGTGAATCTGGGCTCTGAGCCTCAGCTTCTCTAGTGGGCCAGATGAAGGGCAGATGAAGCCCTGAGGTACATATGCCCACCCAAGGACACAGGAGATATTACATGTCACCCAGATAACCTGAGTACTAGAGGTGGAATAATGTGTGGCCTCTACCAAAGTTTTGGCAGTAATTAAAAATTCAAATTGGGGGCTGGGGTGTAGTTCAGTGGCAGAGCACTTGCCTAGCATTCACAAAGCCATGGGCTCAATCCCCAGCACCACCAAAACATTTAGAGTTATACTAACTACAAGAAAGACACTGTGTGTGTGTGCGCACACTCACGGACGTGCGTTTAGACTAAATTGCTGTATATGACAGTCATTCGATTGTGATCTTCTGCTGGTGTTCAGTCTAAGACTATAATTGCCCGTTTCTGAACTCTTGGGTACCTTGCCCAAGGAGACTGGAACAGAATTAGTCATTTGTTCCCAAGTCTGGGTACAGGACAGAAAAGGGCAGGAACAGCTCATCTACTGCAAGGGTGTCCACCTCTCAGTTTTCAGCCAACATCAGTACTGTTTCTGGCATTTGTCAGTCATGAGAGACGAAGAACCAAGCAAAAGTGCCCCCCGACTCCTGCACCAGGCTTCCCACTTGCTAGTTCAGGGTCACATGCAGGGAGCTGGGTGTGAGAGAGCAAGCTGGACAGACACACAGACACAATGTGCTTACCCTCCATGGCTATTGTCCAACGGAGGTGAGGAAAAGTTAGAGGAATTTATCAGAGGAAGGGAAAAAAAGAAAAACAACATTAATCAAGCAGCAGATACCTCCCTAAACACATGAGCAGGACGCAAAGTACCAGCTGTGGCTGCAACCCGCTCTTGTTCTCTGCCATCAGGAGCCACCTTGTCTTTTGGGGGCTCCATGCACAGTGGGTGACTTAGAGCCTTGCCATGCACCACGCTTGTTCCCATGAGATAAGTGAGCAGGACAGCGTGCAAAGCCTGGGAGTGACAAGTGGCAGCCGTGCAAGGATCAGCAGAATGAGGCTTCTTCATAAGAGATGGGGACGTTTCATCACTGGAAATGCCACCTGACTTCCCAGGGATTTGGTTCCCACACCTGGCCCTTCGCATCCTTGGGAATCTGCACTGGCATCTAGCTACACTGCCCCAAGAAAGATTCCTGGTGTGCTTAAAGATCTCAGGAGCTTATTTTAAAAATCAAAGTATAAAGAATATCCTTCTTTTGAACCAACCATTATTATTATTATTTTTTTAATATTGGGGATACTGAACCCAGGGCACTTAACCATTGAGCCACATTGCCAGCCCTTTTAATATTTTCTTTGGAGACAGGATCTTGCTAAGTTGCTGAAGCTGGCTTTGAACTTGCGATCCTCCTGCCTCAGCCTCCTGAGTTGCTGGGATTATAGGCATGTACCACCGTGCCCAGCTTGAACCAATTCTTAAGAGAAGGTTCCATGACTTTGAGTAAAACCACCCCGGCTGTCCTCTGCCTGAACAGGCAGTGAATGGGAGAAACAAGCACCTTCTCCTCTTCTTAAAAGTATCTCAAAAGAAACATGTCCCCAGCACCTGAGTGTAGAGATGCACTTCTCTCTGGTACTTCCATGTGCACTGGAAAGAAGAACTCTAGAACTCATCACTCAAAAAAAAGGGCTGGCTGCCTTTTACTTTCTGCAGTGAGAACCTCAGTGCAGTCTTGTTTATCTTCCCAGGATGGCCTGTATAGACTCCATCACACAGGAAGACACATGGCTTCTTCGGGAGGGTGCCAAGGGCGTATTCCACCAAGAAACAGGATGGTTTGCAATTCTAGGGGTTGGGGGAGGCCTGCCATGACTGTGACCTGCTTAAGGTTTCCCTTCTTATGGTGCTTTTAACCACGCATGGTGACACTCCAGAAGTTTAGAGAAACATCTGTTCTTGGTTTCCTATTTTCTAGAGCTCAACAACTTGGAAACTCCTTGTCTGGCAATTAATGACAATCAACTGTCCCCCAGCCATGTGGCCAATCCCACCCCTCAGGGTGGTGCCTGAAGCCCAGAGCTCCAGGGAGGCTCCAGGGGGAGTGTGACAGCATAGGGCTTGGGATCTGACCCCAGCACTGAAACCAAGCCACAAGAGCAAAGCTGCCAAGGAAAACTGGGACGATTTCTGGCTAAATGTTATTTGAATGATTATTTTAGTTATACCTAGTTAAAGGCAAACATTTCTGTATCAAAACAATCATTCTTTCAGGCTACACTTACTACAGAGAGATAATAAAGGAACGGGCATGGGCTCCACACTAATCACTTCAAAATCTTTTTTTTTTTTAATATTTATTTTTTAGTTTTAGGTAGACACAATCTTTGTTTTATTTTTATGTGGTGTTGAGGATCGAACCCAGTGCCTCATGCGTGTTAGGCAAGTACTCTACCACTAAGCCATAACCCCAGCCCGCAAAATCTTCATGTACTTTAAACATATTGTTTCTTTTTCTAAATTTTTTTAAATATTTATTTTATAGTTGGACACAATAGCTTTATTTCACTTATTTATTTTTTACGTGGTGCTGAGGATCGATTTCAGGGTCCAGCGTGTGCGAGACAAGCACTCTACGGCTGAGCCACAACCCCAGCCCAAGCATATTGTTTCTACCAAGAGTTTACTCACGAGGTTATTCCAGGTGTGGGACACGAAGGTGTGTCAGGGTTCTGGGGTTCCTCATCAGCTTCTAACGTTGGTTTTTCACTGGAGCACAAGTCATTGTGCAAGCCTTGTCTTGTGGCTTATGAAAATAAGCTCACTAACCTGATTTTTTACCATTCTGTTTTTCAAATTTTTACTTAAAAAACCTGTGTTAGAAGGGTCATGTTTTTGCTGCTTCTGAGAATACCCACATGTTCCTGACAGCACTGGGAAGCTGCAGGGTCCCAGGAGCTGATGACTGGCCAATAGGTGCTCTGGATATTCACTGGTTTCAGGGCAGCGTGGGCCTAGCTGTGCTCGCTGGACACCCCTCAGGGAGCAGGCTACACCCGCCAGCACCAGCCCACTCACTCTCTGGTCACCTCCTGGATGGACAGGACAACCCTACCCCTGGTGAGGATGCGTGCTCTCTTCCAGGATTTGGGATAAGAATGCATATACCTGACAAGGGGTCAGCTAGAGCAGCTTTACAGGTGGCACCTTGGAGCAGAGTGCAGAGGTGTGCAGTCCATGGATCTGCAGCAGCATGCCAGCCCAGCCACAAGAGCCAATGACCATAAGCACGCTGCTTCCCCTGTGTGAGGCCAACACGAGGATGAACGTGGACAAGGTCTGAACCTCACCTGGCTGGGGGAAGGCACTCCGACATCGCAGTGAGTGTGTGGAGCAAAGATCACCTCTGCCCAGCTCATGTGCACTGACCTGGGGTGCTATCTACTTTGAGGTGTACCATGTGTTCATGCAACACCAGGTCGGGAAGAGCTCTGCCCCTCAAACCACTACCTGCCCCGATTCCAGAGAGTCAGATCATGGGAATGGTGTGCCTCTGGTCAATATATGGGGCGTGTTTGGAGAAGTGGCTGTTAAGTGGCCAGGCCAAAGGGGCTCCCTATCCAGGTAAGGAAAGCTGCCCCAGCTCTCAGGCTTGGCAGGGGGCCTGGGAGAGCAGATGGTGAGCTCCAGCTCCAAGCCAGGAGCCGAGTTGATGAGCCCAATCAAGGGCAAGATCATGCTGTGCCTGGGCCAGTGCTGCTCTTGGCGGGAGGGTGGGGGGGGGGGCTCTACTTGTTCTCACAGGGAACCATTCTGACTCTGGATGGACAACAGGCTTTTCTTAACACCACGATTATGAGCCTAGAGGCGAAGTGGGCCCACAGGTCCTCACTTACCCCTGGTATCATGGCTTAATTAATTTACAAAACTTGATTTTTAAAAATCAAATCAACACTTGATTTCCACAGACACGTTGTGCCTCATGGGAGGAAGATGTAGGCACAAAGTCATAAAGTCCCTAAAGTCAATCATGAGAGAAAACTGGGAGAGTCTGGGTAACACTTCCCTGGCTCTCAGGGGATTCAGAACCAGCTGAGTTCTGGCCCCTTATGGTCCCCTCTGTGCTGTCCCCACCCACTGTATGACACAGACGTCATCTTCCAAGGACAAAGGGATCCAACCAACCCTAAGACCAGAGCATGCCCACATCTGATGCCTACCTTGACACCCTCGTTGTAGCTGTCCCCAGGGCTGCTGAGGCTGGCGAGGCTGCCCAGGTGGCCGGGGGCTCCGGGGCGTGGAGGTTTCTTTGGTGGAGCCGCAGGATCTGGCAAAGCAGAAGGACTTCCTGTATGAAGGGTAATGAAGAAAGCCAATGCCCTGCACTGGCACCAGGCTCCTGTCTTAAGGGCCTGTGGTGTTACAGTATTAGATTCTGCTTTTCAGGACTCCAGCCATGGCTGAGTGTGGTCAGAACCAAACTTGCTGTGATCTATTGGGGGAAGGCTTAAAATCTTGTGGACATCCCCCAGCTGTGACACTACAATACTTCCAACCTGCTGCCAATTACACAAGTATTTAAAAAAAAAAAATTGGTACTGGGGATTAAACCCCGGGATACTTAAATACTGAGACACATCCCCAGCACTTTTTACTTTTTAATTGAGCCAGGGTCTCATTCAGTTGCTGACGGTCTCCCTAAGTTGTTGAGGCTATCCTTGAACTTGGGATCCTCCTGCCTCAGCCTCCTGAGTGGCTGGATTACAAGTGTGTGCCACTATACCCAGCTACTTACACAAGCTTTTGACACACAACTCATTTCTTCACTGACCTGGTTTGCCCACAGGCTGATAGATGTGTTGGTTTCCAGTCTGTGGGAAAGGAAAATTGAGTCAATGTACTGGTGTATACAGGGAAAAGAACCATCCCACTCTCCTCCCTATTCATCCACCCCCTGAACTCTGCCAGATGCTGGGGCATTGGGATGAACAAGACAGCTGCCTGCAGGGCTCAGTGGTGTGGGGAAATAGGCAGGTGACACCTCACACCAATAGAGTGTGTGGGGAGGGCTGTAACAAAGGCAACCTTGGGGTACTCTGGTATTCATACAGATCTAGAACTTTCCTACATGGATGTCTCTGGTTTACCATCATGAAATCCCAGCCCTCCCAGCATGTGTCCGCTTATCCCATGCTCAGTGTCCTTCTACCCCCTCTGATTACAGTAAGGGTGCAATCAACAATGAAGAGATAGGGACCTGGTAGCACTGGGGTGTTTGGCAGTCCCCATGGGCTCATGCTGTCAATGTCCCTAAAGCGCTGTGTACATCAGAACGGGTTTAATCCTCCAGCAGTTCTAGGACAAGGCAAGGAAACAGGGACTGGGTAAGGGGAGGCCTCTAATGGAAACCAGTCCTTCTCCAGGCCTTTATGCCTGACGCTGCATTTAAAGTAATGAGTCCCTTGTTTTTTTGGTAGAGATTGAACCAGGGGTGCTTAACCACTGAGCCACGTCCCCAGGCCCTGTCATATTTTTCATGTTTTATTTTGAGGCAGGGACTTGCTAAGTTGCTGAAGCTGGCCTTGAAATTACAATCCTCTTGCCTCAGCCTCTTGAGCTGCTGGGATTAGAGGTGTACAGCCAACCTAAAGTAATGAGTTTTATAACTAAAATGGGGGGAAAAAAAAGTTTTAGAACCATACCCAACCTTGTAAAAGAAAAACTTTTCTTGCTCATTTTAAAATAATGATACATACACATAATTTAATATGCTTTGTTTTCTACTGAAAAGAGCTACTTCTTTAAAATCACAGTTGTTTTCAACCTGCCATTTATCACCCTGATTTTATCCTGTTTTAACTAACTAATTTAACTACTTACATTTTCTTCTTCTTTTTTAAAGAGACAGGGTCTTACTATGTTATGTTGAAAGATTGGCCTTGAACTAGTGGGCTCAAGTGATCCTCCTGCTTCAGCCTTCCAGGAGCTGGGACTGCAGGTGCTGTGACACTGTGCCCAGCACAAGCTCTACTGCTGAGTTGCATCCCTAGTTCCCACCCTTGCAAACTCTCAGAGCCTGGAGGTGGGGAGGGGTCCTAAGCAACGTGCTTTCTACCTTACATGCCATTTTCACGCATGCATTTCTTCAACTAGCAGGTACTGAGCCCCTGCTTTGTAGCTGATACTATACTGGGTACAAACCAGAGCTCCTGCCCTTGTGGAGCTGCCATGCTTTGGATATGAGGTGTCCCCCCAAAGCTCAGGTGTGAGACAATACAAGAAGGTTGAGAGGAGAAGATTGGGTTGTGAGAGTCTTAACCAAACCAGTTATTTAATCCCTTGATAGGGATTAACTGAGTGGCAAATGAAGTGGCAGGGTGTTCCTGGAGGAGGTGGGCATTGGGGCGTGGCTTTGGGGTATATGTTTGTATCTGGCAAGTGGAGACCTCTCTCTCTGCCTCCTGATCATCATGTGAGCTGCTTCCTTCTGTCACATTCTTCCACCATGATGTTCAGCCTCATCTTGAGCCCTGAGAAATGGAGCCAGCCTTCTAAAGACTAAGGCCTCTGAAATCGTGAGCCCTCAAATAAACTTTTTCTTCTCTACAATTGCTCTGGTTGAGTCCCTTTAGTCACAGTGGTGAAAAAGTTGAATAAAACAGAAATTGACAGAGAGGTGGAGAGAGACACTTGTGCCCACTCCAGACAGCACAGGGCCAATGGAAGGGGAGTCCTGAGCTCAGGCTTGGAGATGGCTGTGATGGCCAAGCTCATCCTAGGTAGGAGCCAAGCCACGTGCAAGGAGGGAGGACAGAGAGCGTGCCTGGGGAGCAGTGAGGTGCCAGGTAGCCAGAGGAGCCTGGGCTGGGTATGGTGGTTAATATGGCCAAAACATGATGCAGTGCCTGCTGGCTGTGCTGCACCAAGATTTGGCGGTAAAACCTACACAATTCCTAAAAGGCTTTCAACTCAGCGAGCTTTCTGGTTGATATTAGGTGACAACCAAGCTCAATTAACTAGAAAACTCGATTTTTGAAACATTCTGGAACTACCTAACAAATGTGCCTGTGTGCAGCCAAGCAGGTTCCACTCTGGAGGGGCAGGCACTGGAAGGGAAGCCCATGTTCCACACATCTATTGGGCCACGTGTCATGGGCCTGCCGGGCCTCAGTATACTTCTTCTCTGAAACTAGTGATGTACCCAGTCCTGGGCTGCAGTCACAAATTGAGTACGCTACTGACTCACAGGCCATCTTAAAGGTGCAGATGTGACTCTGTTTGTCATGCACACAGAAGGGGTTAATTTCCATCAGCTAGTCATTAATGACTATTAACTACGTGCATGCACTAGTTACACGTTCATGACTATTGGCTACAGCACACTCGTTCACAAGCTGTGCTCCTTTTTACCCAAACAGCTCTCTCAGAACATTTCAAAAATGTTAAAGCTAGGGGCTGGGGTTATGCCTCAGCGGTAGGGCACTTGCCTAGCATGTGCGAGGCACTGGGTTTGATCCTCAGCACTACATAAAAATAAATAAAATAAAGGTGTTGTGTCCAACTACAACTAAAAAATAAATATTAAAAAAAAAAAGTTAAAGCTAAAGAGTTCCAAGAAATGCACCAAACTAAACGTTGTCTTTAGAAAAGGACCAATGTGGTCATGGGGAAGTAAGACAAGCCTGCTCTGCCAGGTGGCCACAGGAGTTTACTGCCTGGGTCTGGCACTGCAAGGAGGCCTCTGCAGTAGCCAAGTCTACGGATCTGTGGAATACAGGTGACAACAGGGCCTGACAGTAATATGAGTATCACGTGGAGCCCATTCCACACAGCACTTTGCAGTACTAAGCACCAAGCACTCTTACTACTGTCTACGTCTGGCATGCAGAAAATCATGACATTGCAAGTGGGCCTGTCACGTTTGTCTGACAGTTCTTATGAATATGGCATTTCTGAGTTATCCTCCTATCCAGGTCTCATTAATTTGTTCTACATATTTTCTGAGTATCTTCTATGTGCCACATTTTGGAACACAAAGAATTTTTCTTTTCTAACAAATATCCTATTAGCAATTCTCTCACTAGTGAGTCCTTGAAGAGTTTTTCACAAGTCAGGAAAGAATGCTTGCTGTACTTGAGTCTTTTCAGCCTAGGAAAGGAGCTTGGTGGGTGATGTAACATTGCTTATGAGCTGAGGAACGTCAGACTCAGGCTACCAGCCTGAGCTGATACACTGATAGGAAAAATGCCAAAGCTTTGCGGGTTGGTAATGGGTGACCTTGGCATCAGAGCTTAGGGGATGCTGAAGCTACGGCATAGGCCAGGGTGGTTCCGTACCATGCACTTAGGTGCTGAGAACCCAGGACTCTGATGAAGATGGTGCTGTAGCTACTCAGAGAAGCTTATCACGGAAAGGCCCAGACAATCCTCAGCACCTCTTATTTCAAAACTGGATGTAATTTATATACATAGAATGATGTTTAGGCCAGGTACTATGGCACATGCAAGTTCAAGGCCAGCCTGGGCAACTTCGCCAGACTCTGTCTCAAAAAGCCAAACAACCAAACAAAATGAAGTAAGGGCTGGGGATGTGGCTCAGTGGTAAAGTGTCCCTGGGTTCAATCCTTAGTACAACAAGAGGAGAAAAAAAGTTTCAGAAATTTAAAGTAAGTGCTGACAGTGGCAGGTCTGAAAGTCAATTCAGAGGTTTCTTTCTACCCAGAACCTCAAAAGGGCCAGAAGAATTCACCTGCTGGGGTAGAAGTGTACGCATTTATTAGACACCAGAAGGTGCAAATCCTAATGATTTAAATTACTTCCCTCCTGACACCAGGAAGTATTTCTAGCTGGCTTTAAATATATTTGAACTAAATCCTAAGTTAGTTCTTGCTAGGCAAGTGCTCTATCACTGAGCTACAACCCCAGCCCTTCTAAGTTAGTTCTTCATTTTTTAAACTATTTTTTTAGTTGTAGATGGACACAATATCTGCATTTTATTTATTTATTATTTTTATGTGGTACTGAGGATTGAACCCACTGTCTCATGCATGCAAGGCAAGCACTCTACCATTGAGCTACAGCCTCAGCCTTTTAGTTAGTTCTTTTTTTTTTTTTTAATATTTATTTTTTAGGTGTAGATGGACACAACACAGGGCCTTTATTTTTTTTATGTGGTGCTGAGGATCGAACCTGGGTCCCGCCTGTGCTAGGCGAGCGCTCTACTGCTGAGCCATAATCTCAACCCTTAAATTAGTTCTTTAAAGAGAATTTCAGGCATTTCTTCCCTAACACCCCCAAGGGGGAAAACAAATCTTGTTTGAATAAGTTTTATGTGACTATGACAACTTTTATAACCAGCAATAGTAGTATATAAAACGTTGAGCAAATGGAAATCGTATGTAACAATAGTACATGTGTACATACTTTTTAAGATTATAGGGACTGTGGCTTACTACTAAAAGGCCTGTGACAATAATGGGCAGAAAACTTAAGTATCTGCATAAGAATTCTGTACAGAGAATGTCTTAATAATCCTAGTGAAATGTTCACTTTACTTGTAGAATTGATTATTCTGTCTGACATCAGAGGTATCATTAAGGTGGATGCCCACACACTATGAGCCCCAGCTTACCGGCCCCTGAAGACTCCCGTCCTCCCTGTCAATGCTGCCTCGAGATAGCCTCACATCAGGTTTCTACAGAAATAAAAACAGAAATAAGTCTATTTTAAAATTTGAAAACCCAGTGGCAGATTCTGCTCAAAATTCCTTTTTCTTTTTTTGGTACCAGGGACTGAACCCAGGGATGCTTTACCACCGAGTCATATCCCTGGCCTGTTTTGTTTTTTATTTTGAGACAAGGTCTTGCTAAGTTGCTGAGGCTCTTGTCTCAGCCTCCCAAGCCATTGAGATTACAAGTGTGTGCCACCAGGTCTGGCTAAGATTCCTTCCTTCTACAATATAACTGTCCTCTGATGTAGCCAACCTCTTTACAGAGCCAATTCCCAGACAGTCTTCCTTCCCCACTGCTGGCCTTCTCCAGTTGAAGTGGTTTCCTTCCACAGGGTCTGTGCTTCCAAGTCCTGAGAGAGCCTCGAGTTCTGCACCCATCAGTCAGGCTTGTTTCCAGTGGGCTGGAAGTGAACTTCCAGGACAGGCTCCCACTTGTCTTCTGCCCACTTCCCTCCTCTTATGCATGAGGGGGAGTGCAGGAGGCTTGTGACAGACGCTGAGGTCTGGGAACTGGGAGTGTAGGACATGGGTAAAGGAGCAGCTGGTGGCTAATTACAAAGAGAGGACTCTGGGTTGATGAGCATTGTTAAGGATCCCCAGGGTTGTCCTGTGGCAGATGTGAAGCTTGTGTGTCACCCCTGAACCCAGGCACACACACTTACACTCACTTATGGAAAAACTTTTTAATAATCAGAGGCCCGAGGAAATAGGACAAAAAGCCCTAAGAGTGAGCCAAAAGGGCAGAAGGACATGTGACTCGCTATGTGTCCATTTAGCAGAATGAGACCACACCCAGCCCCGCACCTCACAGGTGCACACGCTCACATTGCTGCCAGAGGTAACTTCCAAGCTGTAAAAATTATGATATTTTTATTGGAAAATATGCATCTAAAAATCATAGGTAAATGTAGGTGGGAAATGACCTAAGTCCTCAATGAGTGTCAAGAAAGCAGAATTCTACAAAGCACGATACAACTGTGTCCATAAGGAAACCAGAAAAGATCTGAATAAATACTTCTGAACTCTGAAAAGCGAAACTTAATAAAACTCTATAGGTGAAATTACTTCTATGTTTACATGTGCTACATACAATATCACTAACTGGTACTTTTTTTAAAATATTTTTTTCAGGTGTAGGTGGACACAATGCCTTTATTATTATTTATTTATTTTTATGCAGTGCTGAGGATTGAACCCAGTGCTTCACCCACACTAGGTGAAATCTACCACTGAGCCACAGTCCAGCCTCACTCACTGGTACTTTTAAAAGAAAGTTCTTACTGCAAATGTCACAGATCTATAAATCCAGTGCCACACAGAGGCAGAGCAGAGTGGACCACCTCCCAAGACAGAGCAACTGTGGCTGGGTGGGAAATGCACCCAGGAGAGAATTCAGAGGTAGGCAGCCCCTGGCCTGGAGGACAGACTTCCTAGCAGGAGTACCCCCCTGAAGAGATACACAGCAAGGAAATGTAACAAGAGCCACATTAATCCAATCAGCCATCCCAGCTGGTGAGCCATGGGCAGTGTCCGGGCTGCAGGAACAGAGGCAGCTTTATGCAAGCCTTGGGTCCAAACCCCAGGACACAGTGAGAAAGCTTGTTGCTGGTGCTGCTTCGACTCAAGGTGGACAGTGGAGGGCAGCTGGGTACAGGCAGAGGAGAAGGGGCCTACTTCCTGGATACCTGAGCCAATCTCTAGGGAAAGGTGCTCACTCACTGGGGAGGGCTCCGTCCCCACAGCCCGATACCCTGGTATTGGCCTCTCCCAACACTTCATACTGAGAATTCAGGTCCAACAGGTGAACTTCTAGGGGACACGCTGGAATCCTAGCGGTGGGGAAGTCAGGCTTGACTGTTACTGAAGCAACAATGAGAAACACTTTCCATAGGGAAATTAAGAAACTATAAAAAAACCAAAGGGAAAGATAAAATCCATTTACTCTTCCCTGGAAGAAGTTATCACGAGTTAACGTATGCTCACAAGGTGAAGCCACATCAGTGGTTTGTAGCCTTTGTGTAGAAACCTGCATGAGGCAAACTCAAACAGAACTGAGGGGCTCGGCAGCCCTCCTCCTCAATAAATGGCCTGTAAAACAAAGTGGCAGCCTTGGGCATGGGCTCTAGGTCAGGGCGGGGTTCAAATCAGTTCAGGACAAGCAGTGTGGCCTGGGCCCATGTCCCTTCTACAAAGACAGATCTGTGACTAAGTCCCTGATGATTTCCTGGGATGGATTTCTAAGAAAGGAATTATTGCTGCTGGGCGTAGGTCTGGGAACTTGGGAGTCTCAATGTGAGCTTCCGCATAGAAGGCTTCTCTTCTGGTGCCACACCATATGGCAGCATGTCAAAACTCTACCCACCCATAGGCAGAAAACTGTCGGTTGGTGAACTCTGCCCCTCCTGCCCTGTCTTCTGAGGACACCTGGATGCTGGTGGGGGAAAGTGTCCTGGGCCTTCCTCCTTGAGCCGACTGTCTCTGCCCCTCTGGACATGGGCCAACCCTCTTCTATGTTGCTGTTGCTGCTGAGGCAGTACATGGCAGGGCGGGTGAGCGTCCAAAGCTTGCAAAGGCACACTTAGTTGCTGGGGGCAACACAGCTTTTAAATAGTGGAGGTGGGAGTCAATCAAGCAAACAAAACACGTATGTCTAATTTATTCTTTTACTTACAGTCATCTAGTGCTCCATGGAACCAATAGAAACCCCTGTTTAAGTTCCTTCCTCATACATGGCCCGTCTGAACGGAAGATGCCACACAGAGGGTTTGGAGTGATGTAGGCAAAACCAGTCAAAAAGCAGATCCTGGGCTGGGGTTGGGGCTCAGTGGTAGAGCGCTTCCCTAGCACATGTGAGGCACTGGGTCTGATCCTCAGCACCACATAAAAATAAATAAAGATACTGTGTTTATATACAACTAAAAAAAATATTAAAAAACAAACAAAAAAAAGACAGATGCTGGGTTTGTTCTGTGCCTGAGTGAAGTCCTCTCTCAACCCCTTACAGTAAGTTCTAAGGATGTACAAAGATACAACGCAATGATTTATATTTAAAAATCTTTTATACAAACAGATCACATAAATAAAGAATGTTTGGGATGAACTGACCATGTTCCCTAGCAGATATGTGCTCTTTAGAAACATTTAATTATAGGGCTGGTGTTGTGGTTCAGCAGTAGAGCCCTTGTCTAGCACATGCGAGGCCCTGGGTTCGATCCTCAGCACCCCATAGAAATAAATAAATAAATAAATGTCCAACTACAACTAATAAAAATATATTTTAAAAAATCTGATTAGAAAGTGCATAGCTCAACACATGTTTCTGTAGGTGCAAAGCACACCCACCTGGATCAAGATATGAAGCAGGGATCAGCAGGCTCCCACACACCCTGCCCTAGGCCTAGTACAGGGACCACACCTCTCTTCCAGCCCGAGATCACTCCCGCCTGTCTCTTTTCTGGTGGACTGAACTTGAAGCCTTGTGCTGCACAGAGTTCCATGGTATGAACATTCACCCGTCCTGCCATCAGCAGGCGAGGAGGTCGTTTCAGGTTCCTGGCCGCCACCAACAAAAGCTGCGGAAGCATTCTTTTATGTCTAGGCATGTGTGCTTAATCCTCTTGGGCACATGTCAGAAGGGCGAGTGCTGGGTCACAGGCAGCAGCCATGTTCCCACCAGGGGTAAGCCGAGCTCCAGCTGTTCTGGGTCTGGACAGCTACAAACTCCATGCTCATGTTGCTGTTACTCTAGAAAATGACAAACTTTAGACTTTTGGCTCAAAGTCCTTTCTCCTCTGATTACACTCTGCAGCCGAAGACCGGGAAGTTTGCAGCAGGGCGGTGGCCAGTGCAGACGCTGTCCTCAGACAGTGTTCGTCCACTGCTACTCTTTAGCTCCCATCTTGGCACTCCTCCTTCTTAGGGACTGACTGCTCTGCTGTGTGTGGGGAAAACAGCGCTTCACTACTGATTTCTTTTCTCAGAACACAAAGCAGGCTTTATATGGACAGAACTCTCATTTTAAAGTTAAGATCCTTTTTTAGTATAGTGCCACATTAGAAAATCACCCTGCACACAGTAATAAAAAGAAGCCAATTTACTGTTTTCAAGCAGGGCTTGGTAGGAAAGAAAGGCCTCTCTACAGACTGAGGCCCACCTGCTGCCAGCACCTGGCAAAATGGCCAGTTTGCAGAACTCAAATTTTGACAGTAGATTCTCAGACATGGCACCATTCTTTCTGAGCTAGGGACAGGAGGGAGGGTGGTTCAGGACATACCATCTTGAGGCCACAGGATGTCAGGCAGGAGTCGTGGGGCTGCTGCTACAGAATTAACTAGTGCTGGCCTCACAAGGAAGAACAGGAGGCTGGCTCACAGGGCTGGCAATAGTAGGCCCTCACCCTGGCAGCCACTGGATCTTAACCCAGAAGGATGGGGTGGTTACATGTTAGAAATACTACTGCATGGGGCTGGGGCTGGGGCTCAGGGGTGGAGCACTGGCCTAGCACATGCGAGGCACTGAGTTAGATCCTCAGTACCACATAAAAATAAATAAACAAAATAAAAGTATTGTGTCCATTAACAATTAAAAAAAAAATATATATATATATATATATATATAAAAAAAAATACTATTGCAGCGCTGTAGGAATGCCTGGAGGGGACAATGTTTCAGAGAAGACTTCAACTCAGTTCATTTATTCTTATTTCTTTGCAGTGCCAGGGATCAAACCCAAGGCCTCATGTGTGCTATGGGAACACTCCACCACATGGCCGCCCCAGCCCTTTTCCAGCTGTAGAATGCCCTGGGTCTCAGCTGTCCTGACTTTCCTCACCCCAGACCTGCTCTCCACTCAGAGTCTCCAACGGCTGGCTCCCCAGCTGGCCGCCCATCGAGCCTGCTGGCCCCTCAGTGGGACACTCCCCTCCAGATTCTTTTCAGACCACCCACCCGGCGCTGCCCACCAGGTCACAAGGTCTATGAGTAAGGGGACAGCTGCTCACAGGAATCTGCAAGGAGCCCACTGAGCAGGGCTGGTCTAGGGTGAAGTGGGGTGACGGACTCAGACAGCTGGAAGGTAGACAGCAGAGGAGAAGCTCAGGAGGGACTCAGGAATCCGAGCCAAGCATGTGACACGAACATGAGAGGAGAGACAGAAAGTACAACTCTTCAGTTTCTAAGAGCCAGGGGAGTAGAGTTGTTGGAAATGCTCCAGGTTCACTTGCAGACCTGGAGTCTGATGCCCACATCTGAGATGGGATAGGGAGCACCCACCTCATTCCATGAAACAAGTAAGGTTTGGATCTTGAAAACAGCAATGACCATGGATAAATCATTCTCACTTATCAATACCACCACGGAATTCCAAATTAAGCAAAGCAAATCCTGGAAGAATCACCTCCTAGACCCAGACAGGTATCCGTCTTCCTAAACACAGGATGAGTGCTACCCAAGGGAAAGGTGTGCATGATTGGACAGGGGAAATCTTCCAGAAAGATGTAGTAGGTTTAAGACACAGAGACGAGACTGTACTTCATGGAGAACTATCACAGAAAACATACAACTTCAGAAAGAAAAGCAAAATGCAGGAAAAACCCCCAAATTCAAAGGCAGGCAACATGTGCTTCAGGAGACAAAAACCAAGATATAAAGGAGGGGCTGGGGTTGCGGCTCAGTGGTAAAGCACTTCCCTAGCATGCGTGAGGCACTGGGTTTGATCCCCAGTACCACATAAACAACACTAAATAAAGGTATTGTGCCCATCTACAACTAAAAAAAAAAAATGTTAAAAAGGAAGATTTTATATATATGAATGAGGTAATGAGTACTGAACTGGGCATCCAAGGAAATCAATAAAGGCCTTCTTGAGATACATTACTAGAAAATGACAGGATATTCCTAAAAATCAATGGCCTTTGCACAGAGAATACATAGCTAAAAAAGGTCAATGACAATGAGGAGCCATTATGGTTGAAGCACCTAAAAGCAAGCTGTAAAGCCACCTGGGAGAAGGTAGAAAAGTGGAGCCAGGGCAGACTCAGATGCCTGCTGCTGAAGGAGGGTGAGGGACACACTGAAGAACACAGGTAGCCACACAGGCCATCATGTGACCTGCGTTAGAGTGCTTGGGGATGTATCACCAGTGTTATGGGGGTTGTGCACACACAGAGAAAGCCGCCCGGACGGCTGGTCACATTCTAGGTAGAGCAAGGGTCACACAGGTCTAGGCCTCTGTCAGAAGGCCTCACATTAGCTGCATGTGGCAGTGCACACCTGAGATCCCAGCGACTTGGTTGAGGTAGGAGGATGGCAAGTTTGAGGCTAGTCTCAGTAACTCAGCAAGACCCTGTCTCAAAATAAAACTTAGAAAGTTCCAAAAGGATCTTGGTGTCGGGCTGGGGCTGGACTCAGTGGTACAGCGCTTGCCTGGCATGTGTGAGGCAATAGGTTCAATTCTCAGCACTGCATATACATAAATAAAAATAAAGATCTATTGACAACTAAAATAAATAAATAGATAAATGAGTGAGTGAGTGAATGAATCTTGGTGTCTAGGAACACAGAGGTTTCTCTGCTCCAGCACTTCCTTTTGGTCCCCAAGGGACTTCTAAAGGTCACCTGAAGGAAGACATTTCTCATTCCCAAGTCCAGCTGCATCTGGGGCAGGGCTGTGAGGCCGTGCTGCAGAGGAGCGCAGGCGCCCTGCAGTACTGCAAGCTGACTCCAGGTGGGATTCTCTGATGTGAACAGTGAGGTCATGAAAAGCCACAGAGCACAATGAAACCTAAAGACAGACCTCGATGAGCAACTGAGAAAGCAAATGACTCACTGCTGCACATTTCAGGGACCAGATATGAAACGAAGTCTGTTTTGGATAATGTAAAAATTTTGCAATTACATGCAATATAGTAGACACTAATGGGATTTCAAAGTGGAAGAAACTGCTCTGAAACATGATTACCAGAAATCTCTCCTCTTTCTCCAGCCAGCGCTGATCTTCTTCCATTTCCTGCTGCTGTCGGATCAGTCGCTCTTCCATCAGGTGGGCGGGCAATACCTGCCCCATTCCTCTCAGGTCCAACGATGCCGAGTCCTGGCAGGAAAGATGGAAACGACACGCCCACTCTCACGAGGCTGCTCGCATGCCCCTGCTTTCAACCAAAGCAAAGCAGCAAGGGTGGTGGAAACAGGGCCTCTCATGCTCCAGCCTCGTCCCTGTAGGCTGAAGTTTACTGTGTGTCAAAGATTCCCTTGGAGGGACCGGGGTTGTGGATCAGTGGTAGAACGCTTGCCTAGCATGTGTGAGGCACTGGGTTTGATCCCTGGCACCACATAAAAATAAACAAATAAAATAAAGTTATTGTGTCTATTTACAAATTAAAAAAAATTAGGAAAAAAAAAAGATTCTCTTGGAATTCCCAGCTCTGGAGCCACTCCTCTTTGAAGAAGTCTACCTCTGTATCTCTGTCACTTTTGCAACAAAACCTACTTCTTGCTTGCTTGTGGGATTCTCTTCTAAAGAAATAAACTGAGAATGTGTACGAAGAAGGCACCATTACCTATAGTCAAAAAGCAGAAACAATCAGGACGTGGACAGCAGCACTGAACATGACACACACAAGTTATGGAGCATCACAGAGCCGCTCACCACGAGCACTCCCAGGAAAGGGACACGGACTACAGACAGCTGTGGATCTTCTCTGACTCAAATGAATGATTTTCAATCAGGGAAACTGAATAAAAATGAACATAGCCCAAAGAACTTGTCCTGTCAGCTTGCCTTTCCTCTGGCCTCAGGCACGTGCTATAAATACCTGAGCACTCCCCTCACGTATTTCTTTTAATTAAAAAAACCCTCACAAAACCAGAAAACATTTGAGCAGCTGGGGAGTCTTGATCTTAGAATTCAGTCTTCAAAATCAAGCAGTCAGACTTAGAAATATGAGGTGTCTCACTTCCTAAGTCAAGAACACAACTTACCTCCATGTTGGGCTGCCACAGGGGTATCTCCTGGGGCCTGTGATTCCACGATTCTGATTGGTCCAAGAGAGATGCTGGGCCGGGGTAGATGCTGCCAGCCATGGCTGTGAGTCCGTGTGGACCAGGGTAGCCAGAGACCTGTGAGTGGGACAAGAGGAAGGAACGTTTCCATAACCCAGCTTCTGTGTGGTTCTGCTTTGCAGGGGAAGTGACCTGGAGCACTTCATACTAGGCAGACGGTGTCCCCTCCCAGAATGTCCAAGTCCCAATCCCTTGAACATGACAGCAGCTCTCTAACGGGGCAATGTGCAGATGCAACCCAGGCCAGGACCCTAGTGTGGTAACTGCCCTGGACTACCTGAGTGGCTCAATGTGACCCCAAAGGTCCCTGGGTACAGAGGGAGCAGAAGCTGAAGAACAGTCAGAGCCAAGTTCTGGTTTTGTATTTGGGTCACAGGGACCAAGAGCCAAAGAACACAGGCAGCTCTTACAGAACCTGGCAGAGCAAGGAAAGGGACTCTCAACAAGAGCCCCGAGAAAGGCAGTTTGGCTGCATTAGACAACTAAAGAAAATGCACTAGGAAACGAGAAGTCATTCACTTTGGAATTTTACGACTATAGAAACGCTCAGATCAGACTCTCTCTGCATATAAAAGCCAGAGGAAGCCATAAAAACAGCTGTGCCACACTTGGCTCCAGAATCCCCCGTCCTGCCCAGTGCCAGAGCCACAAGGAACTTGTCCTCCAGTGAAGGAGGGGCTGATGGTGGAGGGGTTGTGCCTTCTCACAGTGGGACAGGAGAACTCCAGGCGTGAGGAGAGCTGAGGGGTCTTCCCCACAGGCCCTCTCTGGATGGAGGCTCAGTGAGCAGACATGGGATCTACGTACATAGAGCGTCTGCTGGTATGGGATGGCCAGCGTGGCCAGTTAAATTTCTAATGAGATAAAGCACAGCCAAATCCATATGTTCAAACACCCACACGGACCTCATGCTCATTTACTAGGTCTCCAGACGTGAATCATACCAAATCCCACATGGACAACATTAACCAGTAAGTCTTTATGTAAGATACACAGAGAGCTCTCATTTTTTCTGAATAAAAATGTCTAGAAGTTTTGAATTATTTAAAGCTGTTTTCTCCCCCCACCCCATTATTTGGAGAATACTTTATTAGTTTCTATAATCAAACCCATGAAGACCTTACATATTTAATACAGTGCGTTACCCCTGTACAAATGGAAAAAAGTTAAGTTTAACGTTTCTAGACTAATAATGTTTGCTAATTTCTCTACAAAGCCAACTCAACATGGTAAACTGGGGTACTTTTCCCAAAGCTGACAGCCCAGCTAAAGTTTCCAAAAATCCAACGTGTGTGTGTATATTCAATTTCTTTAGTGTTATATAGTTTTAATTGTTAAGGCTTGATTCCCAAATATTTTATTTTCTTTGAGGCTATTGTGAATGGGATAGTTTTCCTAATTTCTCTTTCAGTAGATTCATCACGATGACTAGGAGTGCAACTGACTTATAGGTGTTAATTTTAAGCTGTTTTCTAAATAATACTGGCCATGTGGAAGAACCAGTGGACACCTGAGGCTAAAAGGGAATACAGAGAGACACCAGCAAAGGCACTATAGCTGGCCTCACTGATGGGACAGGAAAACGGCTTGGTGAGGCTCACCGACCATCTGTTCAGTGATGACAGTCTTATTTTGCTGTTTATATGCTGCCTAGGCACTTAGCAAGTCACAGAAGTCAGAAGAGTGCTGTTCCCAGGGCAGGTGTGACATTCTGTGAAGGGCACGAGGGGCCTCTGGGGCCTGTCCTAGGAGGTGGGCATGGGACAGAAGAGTGTTGGCATTGGTCAGAAGCCAGACTTGTGCACTTCACAGCAGGTAACGCAAGCCAACAAAAGCTAATCCCTTCTCTGGAGAACAAAGACAGATGCTACTGACTGCTTTAGGTCCTCTACTAAGGTGCTCCTTTCTCACCTGTGCATGGTATTGGCTGGCACGTCCAGCGTCCCTTCCACACTGTCCACTGTCTAGACAGTACCTTGTCTGGTTTGTTACAGTCATTTTAAATTTTATATTTGTCTTCTGGAAAAACTGATGTACAGTATTACCTCTGCATAATGCGTATCTACTGGTTCCAACTTGTGCCTTGCAAGAGCAAGTAGGAGAGAATGGCGTAACAACTGCTGGGGCACCAGCCTGTCTCATTAAGACTGTGAGGACATGTATGCCTTGCATGGTGTCCACAGACAACAGTCACGTAGGCAATGACCAGGTGACAACTTTCCTAGGTCACTCACCAAAATGAGTAACAAATACAAAATGGAAATATACATACCATGTATCTTCCCACCACCAAAGTATGGAAAAGCCAAGTAACACACTTCACGTCTGCCATGACGGTACCTGATAATGATTGCTCTGCACCATGTGCTGCGGGCTGGGGTAAAATCCTTCACTGGAGCGCGGACTAGGGTAACCAGGTCTGCTGGGCTGTGAAGAAATCAACAGTGTATCATATGAATGAACATTTACAGGTCTAAGTTTCACAGAAATAATAGGAAAATATATCTCTAACAAACAGCTTGGTTAAAAGCAATGATAAAGGGCTGGGGTTGTGGCTCGGTGGAAAGAGCGCTCACCTAGCATGTGTGAGGCACTGGGTTTGATCCTCAGCACCACATAAAAATAAATAAATAAAATAAAGTCATTATGTCCATCTATAACTAAAGAAAAATATTTTTTTAAAAAGCAACAATAAAAATGCTAAGATATTTCAATGATGAAAGAAGACCCCTGCATGTGAAAAAGGCTGATTATTCCTTTGTCACACACAAAAATTAACTGAAGGTGGACCACAACCTAAATGGAGGAGTGAAAGCTCTAAGATTCTTAGGAAAAGGACACAGGGGCAAATCTTTGTGACCCTGGGTTAGGCAACAGTGTCTAAGCTACAACACCAAAAACACCTACCAAAGGAGGAGAGAAGGTGAGAAGGACATCATCAAAAACACAAAGCGTGTGTTGCAAATACCACCACCCAGAGCGAGCACACAATCCAAAGGACACAAGAAAATGCTTGCCAATGCTTTATCTGTCTTCTAGTTGCAGCTGGACACAGTACCTTTATTTCATTTATTTATTTTTATGTGCTGCTGAGGATCAAACTCAGTACCCTGCACGTGCTAAGCAAGTGCTCTACTGCTGAGCCCCAGCCGCAGACACAGCCCTTGCCAGTACTTTATCTAAGAAACACGTTCGAACACACAGAGACTCTGAGCAGGCTGGCGGTGAGATGGCAAAAGGTGCTGCTTAAGAGTGGGGGGCACAAGCACCCCGAGAACAGGAAAGGCGCTCAGCTCCCGAGGCTCCAGCACACCACCACCTTGAAGCCGTAGTGAGCGTCGGCTTGTCATCGCTGCAATGGTGTGACGAACACACAGGGAATGTAAACAAACCAGGATGCAGAAAAATGGAGACCTTTTAGCACTGCTGCTAGGAATACAGACCAGGGCAGCTTCTGTGGAGGGCAGTCAAGGGATGGCTCCAGCAGCCCCAGAGGTGGGGATGCACAGCAGAGAAGTGCAGCCCACATCTGGGCCAACATGGCTCTCAAAGGCACCATCTGCAGCAGCCAGAGAGGGAGCATGACTACCCGCAGGAGAGGAGAACACACGCAGCACACCTACAGGGGAGCACCATGTGGCCCTGCGTGCCGACACAGACTATGACACAGAGGAACCTTGGCACGCGCTGAGAGAAGAAACGCTTACAAGGAACCACAGTGATTCCACCCACAGGGTGTCCAGAGTGGGAGTCGCGCAACAGCAGGCACAGGAATCGGGAGGGTGTGCCTCGAGGAGCCAGACACTTGGGGGGTCACTGTGGAAGTGGGTGCACAACTCTGAACACACAGAAAAGCTGTGTGCATGGTCTTGGGGGTAGGTTGGTCATGCATTCTGTCCCCATGAAGCTATTAAACTGCCACCAGTGAAGGACACTGGCCATACTGGGCATGCCCTCTGTCGCCTGCCTGCTCTGGTGCTCTCTGCTGTGCCCTTCTGGGCCAGTGATCCACCCGCCAAGCCTCATCTTCCTCACTATCAGGCAGGTGGAGCCCGAAGAACTCTCCAGCCCCTTCCAGCACTGAGCATCTCAATTCCAGCTTCTGAGATAAGTGAATTCAAGTTCACAGCAAAGGGAGAGTTGAGTTTGAAACAAGAGGGGAAAACAAGGGAAGTCCACAAGGTCTTACATGACACAGGGATTCAACCAGGTGGGAATACACTGGTCTCAGAGGAGTTAAGACCAGAGTATAAAAGACTTGGACTGGCGCCCAGCAAGCGGGACACTGAAGACTCTGTGGCACCATGTCCTCTGGCACTGGTGCGGGGTGGACTCAGGCTTTGCTCTTGCACTGTGCCCAAGGCCTGGAACATCCACATCTCTACCTGTGGGACACTTCCCATCCCATGAGTCTTTAACAAAGGTCTCCTGGTCCTGCCGGCCTTGGGGAAACACAGGTCCTCTGCTCCCCTTGACTCAGGGGCAGGGCCAGCATTTCTATACTCGCTTTGGCCTACCAAGGAGCCACTGACTTCCTGAGGACAGGAAGGTTCCCTTACCCCTCAGCCCCTCAGAGATTCAGCCCACTCCAAACTTAATTGAATGTGAGCATGAACTCCTCAAAGACCCCTGCAACAGGAAAGGGTCTGAGGGGTGTTCTAGGCTCCTCTCTACTCCTGCCAAAGCGGCAGCTTACAAAGTGTGTTCCTTGGGGCTAAGGGGCTGTATGTAGATTTACATCTTTAAAGATTTAATTTGAAAAAGTGGTTGTAGTGATTTAAAAGAGGTTTCAAAAGGAAGAGTGTGACTTCCTCTGTACACTGAGACTGCTGTGGCAAGAGCTGTTTAGAGGAACGTGCCAATAAGTAAGCAGTACCATAACGGCTGCGCGGGAAAGACGTCCTGGATCCTGTGTGGAAGGACGCAGAGCCAAGAGCTGGGGCAACAGACGGAGCTTCCCAGTCACAGGGCAACATCCACGGCTTAAATTCTGAAAATGGCACATAAGTAAAAGGTGCGGAAATACAAACAGCCGCCATTTACTCGGTATATACTTCGCATAACCTCTGAAGGGCTTTTACGTACAAGTAAAATCTGTCGATGACCCATACATTTTACGTAGGCTCAGAGAAGGCAGGTGATTTGAATAAAGTCACACAGCTAGTAATGGCAGAATTCTAAAATCTGCTGCGCCATCATGCTTCTATATGAGAAGTGCACTTGACTCAAACAAAAAGGAACATAGCAAAGAAATAAAAATGGCAAAAGCTCTAAAAAAAAAAAAATCTTGCAGTGACTCAAAAAAATAGAGGTGAGTGATAAAACCTATAAGGCTCCATTTCAAAATAACAAGTAAGAAGATGGAAAGGTTCTATGACGATGAAGTGACGGCACCAAGGGTGCCCAGAGTCTAATGCTGTGGAGAGGAACCAAGGTCAAGGCCAGGGAAAAGGTGGGTGCCAGGCCAGATTCTAGCTGTCATTAAGACAGTGTCCATGTCGCCAAGCACTGTGACCCAGGAGGGTCAATGCACCTCCCCCTCCAAGAAAACTGGGGTTTTCACCTGAAAGAATGTGTGGTGGAGGGGATTTTGCCAACTCTCCTGAGGGGGATGAGAGAAAGATAGGGCAGCCCTCGGGGCATGCAGGGCACTTGTGAGGTGCTCCTGTCGGCCACGAGGACTGGGTGGGGGACTGGTGAGCAGTTTCCAGCAAACATAGGGATTCCCATGTCACTCAATTTCATCTAGGTGACAAAACACAGAGTCACAAACTCCATTGGAGCCCAGAAGCGGCTCTGCGTTCCCGTTACCACAGGTGACACTTTGCGGGGCCTGTCAGTTTACTTTCCAGGACTGCAACCACTGGGAAGAAACGTGGCCTCCTATAGTGTGTAAGTGGGATAAGGAGAACTGAGGATGGGCCCAGGCCCTCGGGCAGAATTCTGCCTCGGAGCTGCCGCCCGGCTGTAAGCCTTAGCCATTAAGTACAGTTAAGCTGTTGAGTCTTGGATAGGAGAAAGACATTTTTGCTTAAAAAACTAATGAAGCCATGGGGCTGGGGCTGCAGCTCAGCAGTAGAGCACTTGCCTAGCATGTGTGAGGCACTGGGTCAATCCTCAGCACCACATAAACTAAAGATATGGTGTCATTTAAGACTAAAAAACATATTAAAAAAACAAATCAATGACCAAAAAAACCTAATAAAGCCATATTAAAAATTTTTTGTTGTTGTTTTTTTGGTGCAGTGTTGGGGACCGAACCAGCACTAGGCAAGCGCTCTGCCACATAGCTGTACCCCCAGCCCCATGTTTTACTAGTACACAAAATTTATCTACAAAGTCAGGAAATCCAAGTGGGATGTATCCTGAGGTATCACAGTTGGAGTGAGGAAAACCCATGGGATCCACAGAGATCCCCATCTTGTGGGGCAGAGTAAAGTACAGTGCTGGCCCACTACCTTGGAGTAACAGACTCACTTTAGAAACGGCAAGGACTGTGACCATGAATGCAGAACCTGACCCTGACGGTGAACTCTGGGAAGGAACACACTGCACATGAGACTTGATTCTGCCTGGTGTACAGGAGAGCCCGGCTCGCTGCCTGGGATCACCCCACACCTGTGATGACATCCCAAGTCTGGCTGACAGGACCAGGCAGAAGGCTCTGCTGCAAACACGAGTGGTACAGGGAAGAACCTCCGCCTGCAGACAAGGGCTTCAGACGCACATTCCAAAGACATTTCAAAAAAAGAGAAAGTGAAAGCAAGAGAGAGACCGAAGTTTAAAAAGATCAGTGCAAGGGCTCTTGTATGTAAACCAAGAAAAGCCAAGCCAGCTCTACCCCGTGGCCCTAATTTAAAAGTCAAATATAAATGATAAACCAACAGATTGGGATATAAAAAGATGCTCAGAGGCTGGTATGTGGCTCAGTGATAGAGAGCCTGCCTGACACCGGGGAGGCCCTGGGTTCTATCCATAGCCCACCAGAGGAAGAGAAGGGAGGAAGGGAGAGAGAGAGACAGACAGGAAAGAAAGAAATATTTAGATGAAAAAAGTTCTTCAATTCCATGAGTTCCAGGGCAGGCAGTGTGGCACCGTGTGGTGTTTGTCACAGAACACTGAGGTTTCTATACTTCAGTGTGCCAAGAGGAGAGCCGAAGGGTGAATGATCTCACAGCACGTCCCACTGGCTGGAGGAGGAAAGTGAGGTGTGCAGTATGGAGGTAACTACCCCGACCGGCAGCAGAGCGTGATCAAGACACGATTCTCCTGCCTCCCAGCACAGTGCCATTGTGCAGCTGCTACAGAATTAAAACACAGGCCAACTGTGGAGACCAGGAAGAGGGGCTCCGTGGGCACCAAGGAGTCATGCTGTTGTTAAACTAGGAACAACAGAGGAATGCTTGGGCCTTCTCTGGAGTGGGGTGCTTTTCTTTCTCTGCAGGGGGGCTGGGCGGAGGCCCCTTCACCCCTCCATTCTGCAGGGCTGTGCTCACTACCCATGCTCACCACCTTCAATGTGGTGACAGGTTTACTGCTACATGGCTCAACAAGAAAATAAGTTTTCAGGAATCATGTTGAATGGTTCAATACTTAAATTATATTGTGTTGGCAGATTTGTGAATAGTTTTTAAAAAGAAGATGAATACTTAATTAAAGTCATATTTTTAGCTAATCAATTATCAAAGAACAAGTAACTATTAACTGCAAAAAAGCCTGTTATTTTTTGGCTTTCCAGAAAAAGGCCTGATAGGCATGTTCATGGCCAGTACAACATGGTGTGAAAAGCCACTCTTTGGAATGGTGCAGAAAGACTCGATCACTCAAAGCATCAGGGGCCAACTCTACTGAAACCCCAGCCATGGCAGAAGGCTATAGCTGCGCTCCTGGGTGGGAGAAGACAAAAGAAGGAGGGACCCAGGGACAGTGTGCAGGCAAGGTGAGAGGCCTCTCTGAGGAAGGAAAGCAAGAGCCACGAGCTCCCACATAGATACCCCAGCCGCAGGCAGAAAATGTGCATGGTGTTCTCAGCAAATGGAGACAAAGCAAAAGGGACATGGTCAGGTGGGACTGGACTCATTTTAAAATACAGTGAAACGTGAGGCATCTGTGGCCCAGTTTCATGTTTAGTAATGACCGATTATTAGGGAGACCCCCGACAGTCAATGAAAGAAAAGGTTCCTCCACTGTGGAGGAGGGAGGTGCAGAGGAAAGGGAGCATATTCTACGGTCATCAACAGCCTCCACCTGAAATGCAAATTATGGAAAGGAACACAAGAGGGTGACCTCCAGAGGGACGAAGGGAACACTGGTTGCAACCGTACTCTTCTCTCCTCAAAGGAAACAGCTATCTACAGCACAGACTCCAGAAGGCACTTAAAGAGTCACCCCAAGCTGGGGTGGGGACGGTGGCTACCTTGGGTGGTGCTTCGTCGGACCCTCCAGAGTCCCAAGACACGGTGGCCTGTCTTCTGGACTCCATCCTCATCCGTTCTTCCTGCTGAGCCTTCTCTTCCTCCAGGATCGTGCTAGAGAAAACACACTGAATCAGGGGGCTGAGAGCCCGAGCAGCACCCATCATAGCCCACCCTGCCCCTCCAGGAACACACCTGGACCCTAGTGGAGGACACTCATAAAGAAAGGGGAACGCCACATTGGGTTCCTAACCCTGAGCCAGGACGCTAGAGCAGCCTTGGTTCTCAGGGGCACAGGGAAGAGAGAGGCTGGTGAGAGTGGAGGACTGGCCAAGGGGAAGCATCTATACGCCGAAGTGCACTCTGAGCAGATCAGAAAGACCCGAGCAATCCCACACAGCCCTCGTCAAGCAGCTACACACATGAGGCAAAATCTGGATAGACACAGACTCCCACAGAACGTGACCTCACCAGCACGTTATGTGATCAATTAGCAAGTTGGCCAACAACTTCCTCAATTGCTCAGTACAGTAGTCCTACTAATTCTCAGCTTAAAAAGTACTTTATCTGGCCAGGAAAATAAGGAAGACTACAACAGCACTTACAAGTGCTTCAGAAAATACCGTCTGCCCTGAGCTGGAAGCGCTACACTTACCCTGGCTGTGCAGAGGTTGAAGTCCCACTGCCGAGACTTCGACTTCTCAGGCAGAGGGGGCGGGGTGAGGCTTAGCTAGCTCCCCAGGCCACACGCACCCCCCAGGCTCAGTGGGCCCAGTGGGTCTCTGAAACCCTCGTCCTAAGCCTAAGCGGCAGATAGTGCTTTCCTACGTGCTTGTAGCTCCAAGTTCTAATAATACAGCTCATTCAAAGTTTCTGGCCCCTGGCAGGCAGAATGCAGTAAATAACCACCCAGAATTACTCAGGAAAGAGTGACATCAGCGGCAGAGACTCTTTCTAATCTGGGAATTTGTTCAACTGTTCATAAAGACATTCCTGTAGAGGTGGAGCCTGGCTCTCACTCAGGCACCTTCCCAATCAGGAGGACAGACAAGATTCATTTCCTAGCTGCCCTGAGTCAGAAAACCATCACTGCAGACCTTAAAGACATTTTTCCTCAAAAGGAAAGGAAATATTCTCCTCAAGGCAAGGATCGTATTACCACTTTAAAGAAAAGCTTTCAAGGCTGAGGCCCACCCTCTCCTCCCAGCCTCTGGTTTCCTTCCCACTTAAGACTGTGGTCAAGGAAACAAACGCCAAGCCATCTCCATAACATGCAAGAATCCCTCAGCAGCCTCCCAAGAAAGGCACTCTGGGCACCTGGCCGAGGGTGAGTTCCAGGTGAACCCAGGCAGCGTTTGGGGAGGGAGCCCTGGGCATATGTTTAAGGTGCTCTGGTTCAGGGTAAAGGGAGACTCAATAGCCAGAAAGAGAATAGCAGTGCCCTTGCAGAGAAGGAGGGTGGGTTCTGTCTGGAGTGTCCCTGGCTGCACAGGCATCAGCCCAGTGCCATTACAGGCCCTGTAGAAGCCAGGAAGAGGATTTCTAGCAAGCTACCAGGGCAAACCCATCCAAGCACATAAGCATTACATGACTAACGCTTGGCAGTGCACTCTGTCCACTCTGTGTGGAAATAAATATCTTTACATTTAAATTTTCTTTACGTTCATGACCTAGAGCCTCGTGTTACACTTTGAAACCATGCCTGCCACATAGTTGACACTTAGGCATCTGCTGGATGAACAACGGATTCACAGTGAGTGGGTGAGACACACAGATTCCAAGGACCCAGAAGATAAGTGACTTGGCTGGGACTCAGCTCATCAGTAATGACAGCTGTAATGAGTAGTCAGGTACAGGGAAGGAGCCTGAGGTCTGAGTCAGACTGATGTCGGGTTCAAGTTCTGCCACAGACAGGCTGTGACCAGACAACTTGATCCCTCCATACCTCATCCACAAAACGGGGCGCCTCCCTAACCACCCCTAATTACTGACCTTGAGGGTTACTGTAAAGATAAAACAAAATTCAGACAATCTCTGTAAAGTGCACCAAAACCCAAGAAGCTTTTAAAAATGAAAAGAACTATGCCAAAATCCCCATCAAATAGCATCGCCCAATGGCTAACGGCTAGCATTCCCACAGGCGCTGCAAGTATTTCAAACGAGTTAAGCAGCAATTAGAGCTTGAGGCATGAAAAGAGCAACCATCCAATCTCTTACTGAAGTGTTTACAGTGCAACTTCCATGAACCTGCTAGAATAGTTACTGACACCGGCACCTCCGGCTAGCCAAGCACGTTGCCACCACCGGGAACAGGTGAGACTTGGGCAGGAGCTAAAACAGCTCCACAGCAGAAACCTGGCAGATGCCCCTTAATGTCTCAGGGCACAGAACAAAGGTACACCCCTCCAAGGCTGTTGGGGAGGATGGAGACGGGTATCTGTGGTAGTTCACTCTTCCAAAGTGATGTGGGTGCTCTCTTCGTTCCCCTCTTCCTGGCTCAGAGGAAGAGGGGCCATCATAATCTCCACCACCTCTCCTGGAACACCTTTCTCTCCTCTGCCTGGCCATGCCTGACTTATGTCTCAAATGTCCTCCACAAAATCTTCCCCAAGCTTCCAACTCCCTTCAGGCTGTCCGTACATGTTCAGAACTGGCACAGCCCTAAATCACAACATGCATGAAGAATTGCCAGGAGTGGTCAAGTGACGCCCAGGAGCAGAGCGGGTCTGTTGTCCAGTGTGGAGGACCACACTGCAAACCTCTAGCACTGGCCAATGGTGAATCAGGAGAGGCCTGCACACAGGCTGCTTTCTTTGAGATGGTTCCTAGGGGTCAGAGTCAGTCTGAGACCACAGCACAGTCCCAACTGGCTCTAGGGAGAAGCACATCCCTTTAGCAGTTTTCAGGTGCCCTGCTCTTCATCACCTGACCCTTAAAGCAAATAGCAGAACCTGAATCCTAACATTTTAAGACTTAAAAAGCCGTGTCCCAAAGATTGCATCCAGAATTGTGAAATCCCTTGCATAAGGAGATTTCCTGAGGTCCCACCTGGCCAACCTCCCCACCCACTGAAAGTCACTTCCCCTTTTCTCTAGCCTGCTGAGTTCACCTATGAATCTTCCCTTGAGCCCTTAACCACTGCTGCCTCAGTGCCCGGTTTAGGCTATAAGCTTAGGCTTCCTGCGCCTGTCAGATGGGTTTCCATTCCTCTTCTCAGTTGCACAGCATGTGCACACCAGATATTCCAAAATTTCTTTTCTTTTTAAATATATTTTTAGTTGTAGATGGACACAATACCTTTTATCTTACTTATTTAGATTTATGTGGTGCTGAGGATCAGATCCAGTGCCTCCCATGGGCTAGGCAAGCACTCTACCACTGAGCCACAGCCCCAGACCCCAAATTTCTTTAGCTAAGCACACCAGTCTGTGCTTCAGAGACACAAAACAACTAGGAAGGGAATTCCTGCAATCTCCAGAAATAGCATATCAAACACTCCTGAGTAACCATAATCTGTTGCTCAGAGTAGACAGGAATATAAATCACTCACAAAAGGCTAGTCCCTAGATGGAGGAGGAAGGCACCAGAAGACAATGCTGAGCTGCTCTCCTGCCTTTGCATCTGCTGAGGAACCAAGGGCAACACTAGAATGTGCACAGGGTCATGGAGATCAAGCTGAAGCATATTTTCCCAAACTCTCAATATTTTTAGTAGCTATTCATTCCACTTGGAAGCTTTCAGCTGCTGAATATGAACTGGCAGAGAGCCCTCGTGGTTTTTCCTAGAATGGAGGTTTCAAAGTCTTATGCTTGCAAAGAGATAGAACAGTAAGAGCTGAGACTTGTTGCTTCAAACACGAGCGCACTTGATAACTATGTGCATTTATTCACAGGGCCCATCTAGGAAGAGAGTCCTGAAGAGGGCAAAGTAGAACTTGAAATTTGTTTTCAGCTCCTTCATTTTAAAAGAAAGAATTGCTCAAGTAGCCAATTCACACTTAAAGGACATAAAAACGTGGGAGAGTGGCTGATTTTCATCTGGTTGCATTACCCCTTGTGAAACTGGGTCTCAGGCTCCCTGAGCAGGCATGGGAGGGTCTTACTCACACCCTTCCAGAGCATCCAATGTGAATTCACTTGTAAGGTATTTTGATGGTGAACAAGAACGTGGTCTATTGAGTCCCCCATTCCCAGTACTCAGCCATGATACACAAACAAATCTCCAGCAAGGACAGATTTCAGGAACAGAAAAGGCCCATCAATGCAGAGTGGCTGATATTTGGGTTGTCCAAGCACTTTCAGAGGAAAGGGACTGCACCCCTGGTGGGCCATGCAGCTACAGAGCTCTCCCTGCCAGGCCCACAGTGAGAAGGCTGGCAGATGAAGGACCATGCATTGGAGAAGACCTGGAGAAACTCTGAAGGAAATGCTAGATGGTTCAGTGCTTGGAGCCGCCTTACAGCCACAAGAAAAGAAAGGAATGTTTATCTATTTCCTTTCTGTAGCCTGTGTCTCAAGATTGACCATGATGTGAACTCTCCTCTTTGAAACTACAAAACTATATTTCTTTAAATAAGAAATGTTCTCTGCTTTATTTAATATGGAGGGAAGAACTTTCACTTTTAAAAAAGACTGGACTTTGACCACCTAAACAAAGCAATGATATCACAAAATTTACTTTGGACATAAAAATCAGTCTGGGTTTATAGTGCAATAAATTTGAAGGAAAAAAAGTGGGAGGGAATGGCTTGCTCTGGCAAGTTCATGGGAATGCCAGTTTTGAAACATGATCTCTTGTAATTACTCAACTTTGCCTCATCACAAAGGAACGGAGCTGACCTTTCCGAGAGCTTCCTGGCATCTGTGCAGAAAACAAGCCTGCAGAATTGAGCAGGGTGGGGAGGCTCAGCTGGGTGGGCTGAGCTAGGGACTAACTGCCACCGTGTGTCCCAGCTGCGCCTCCCCTGGACATCACCCTCATCAACACTGAGATCACACTTCTCTCTTCACCTAAGACATATTTCAGCATGCAGGACGTGAGCACTGCTGTATGTCTGGTGAGTCGGCCATCTTGAAATTATGTTTTAAAAAGCAGTTTCTTCTAAAATCTTACTA